CGTCTCCGCCCTTTTTTTTTTTTTTTTTTTTTTGTTGTTGTTGATAACTAGGAGGTTCACCGTTCACGTCAGCCCTTGTTGAATTCTCAGCTTCTGAAGCAGAGCTTGAGCATGGTTTAGAGAGAGAGAGACAGTGACAGAGACTGAGATCAACACTACCAAACGCTCTACCGTTTCGGTAGAAGAAGAAGAATGGAGTCTTCTCTCTTCTTCCCTTCTTCATCCCTTTCTTCTTTCGTCAATACGAATTCTACCTCTCTTCTTCCGCGGAGACCCAAATTCTCCCGCCATTGTTTCTCGATCAAATCCTCCATAGAGAAACCCAAACCCAGTTCCGAGAGCAACCCATCTAAAACCAGGTCGTGGGTAAGTCCCGACTGGCTCACATCGCTCGCTCGGACTCTCACCTTAGGCCAAAACGACGATTCGGGCATACCCGTCGCGAGCGCAAAGCTCGAGGACGTGTCGGATCTTCTGGGTGGTGCTCTGTTCTTGCCACTGTACAAATGGATGAACGAGTACGGACCCATTTACCGTCTCGCTGCGGGGCCGAGGAATTTTGTGGTGGTGAGCGATCCAGCGATCGCGAAGCATGTGCTGAGGAATTACGGGAAGTACGCGAAAGGGTTGGTCGCTGAAGTGTCGGAGTTCCTGTTCGGATCGGGTTTTGCAATCGCAGAAGGTCCGATTTGGACGGTAATTTGATGTTCTACTTCTTCATCGAGTATATTTTAGGGTTCTTTTTCCTTCAAAATCTTGATCATATGCTTGTGTTGGAAGAAAGAAGACTCCGGCTTCCTGCTAGAACAGTCTCTTGATGGGTATTGCGTTTGGAGATAGAATCTCTGAATGCATTTCATTCATATACACAAACCGTGATCTTTGGAAGCATAGCTTCATAACACATGCCTTAGTTCCTAAACGTCTGTAATGGTTTGTTTAGAGTTCATGTTCTTTTGTTACTTGGTTGTCTTTGATTGGTGTTCTCTTTTGAAAAATCGATCATCTGATTTGGATTTAGGCACGACGCAGGGCGGTGGTTCCGTCTCTTCACAAGAGGTATCTATCCGTAATAGTTGACAGAGTCTTCTGCAAATGCGCCGAAAGGATGGTCGAGAAGCTTCAGCCTTATGCTCAAGATGGAACATCTGTGAACATGGAAGAGAAGTTCTCTCAGTTAACACTTGACGTCATCGGTTTATCGGTTTTCAACTACAATTTCGATTCGCTTGCTTCCGATAGTCCCATCATAGAAGCCGTTTACACTGCTCTGAAAGAGGCCGAGCTTCGTTCCACCGATCTTTTACCCTATTGGAAGGAAAGTCTCTGGTTTCGGTTTGTTGATTCCGTATTCTTGTTCTTGCCGTCACTATAACCAAAAGGGTTTCGGTATTTTTCAGATCGATGCATTGTGTAAGATTATCCCGAGGCAAGTAAAAGCCGAAAAGGCGGTGACTTTGATCAGGGAAACCGTAGAAGAACTGATTGCCAACTGTAAGGAAATAGTCGAAAGAGAAGGCGAAAGAATCAGCGACGAAGAGTATGTAAATGACGATGATCCAAGCATTCTACGTTTCTTGCTCGCAAGCAGAGAAGAGGTTCACCTTCCTTTCGCACTTAAATATCGGAAATCTTAGTGGAGGATGCAACTGAGTTTTTTGTTTTTTCTGATAAGGGATCGTATTTTTGGTTTTTTTGTTTTGGTTTTCAGGTTTCGAGTGTACAGTTACGAGATGATCTTCTCTCGATGCTTGTTGCGGGTCATGAGACCACCGGATCTGTTCTCACTTGGACATTGTATCTCCTAAGTAAGGTACTTTCGGGCATCTCTAGTTTCCTTCGGTTCGTTTTCGTGTATTTTAACTCGTATTTTGCAGGATTCTCGGGCGTTGATGAAAGCCCAAGAAGAAGTAGACAGAGTTTTACAGGGAAAAAACCCGACTTTCGAGGATATAAAAGAGCTGAAGTATACCACTCGTTGTATAAACGAGTCGATGCGTCTCTACCCGCATCCTCCCGTAACACAACTTAGTTCTTCTCAGAAAATCTTTCCTATACTTTCCTTCTCCATTCTCATTACCCGGACTTCCCACACTTTCCATTCTCTTTGCTGGCTATTAGGTCTTGATAAGAAGAGCTCAATTTCCCGATGTCCTTCCCGGAAACTACAAGGTTAACACGGGGCAAGACATCATGATTTCGGTGTATAACATACATCGTTCATCCGAGGTATCGCTAGCCAATCCCAATATATTGGCCCGAATCTTTAGCTAATTTTCTTGCCCGTGATTCTAACTTCGATTATCTTTCTCGTTCCCGAAGGTTTGGGAAAGTGCAAACGAGTTCGTGCCCGAACGTTTCGACTTGCAAGGCCCTATCCCCAACGAATCAAACACAGATTTCAAGTAAAAATCGTTTTTTTATAGATGGTTTTGGTTTTGCACATCTTTGGCCTATCGAGATCGACACTGATCAAATACCTGAGATTTTGGGGTTATCCAAACTCGAATCTGAATGTTTTCGGTCTTACGAAATATTACCCGATTTTGGATACCTGGGTTACTTTTTGGGTAACCATAGTATCCGAACCCGAGGTTAAATACGAAATTTCAGATTTTTTCAAAATATCAAGATTTAATCTGGTCGCGTATCCAAAATTTTAGGGTTACCAAATTCGAATTCAAAATTTCAATTGTTAATTGTCTAAAATCTAGGAGTAGAAATGTCATTTTAATGTTCATTCGGGTATCAACGGGTAATATATGGTCTTATACCCAATCACCTGAACCCAGACCTGATTTTCGGGTTTTGCTCACGTTATAACTCGAACTCATATTGTATTCGCCTACCCGAAGTTTGGATTTTCTTTTGGCGTAACCTAAGGCCTATGTTATTGATGTATAAACCCGTCTTTTTTCGCAGATTCATACCGTTCAGCGGAGGGCCAAGGAAATGCGTAGGCGATCAGTTTGCGTTAATGGAAGCAATAGTGGCGCTGGCGATATTCTTGCAGCGCCTAAACTTCGAGCTGGTCCCCGACCAGAACATCGGCATGACCACCGGAGCCACCATTCACACCACCAATGTAAACTCGGTTTTAAATTACGATAACGCCCTTACTTTCGAGGGGCGGATGAAGCTTCTTCTAGAAAGGTTCTAATGTCGGGATTTTTCGGGGTGGCAGGGTTTGTATATGACGGTCAGTCCAAGGCGGAGGTGAGGTGAAGGTTGAAATGATAACGTCGGCTCATACCGGAGCAGCGATCACAATGAAAAAGCATTATAACTTTTTTTTATATATGTTTTTAGCCAATTTTCATTTTATATTTTTATATTATAAGGAAAATGTGATAAGTTTTTTGCTGATTATTTCGTATAATTCGCATATATCCGTAATATATTCTCATGGCTTATATACATATGTATATAATTTAGTTAGGTGGATATATTCTAAGAGTATATAATTTTCGAACTTGTCAAAAAAGGATATGTACGTCAATCCAAGGATATTTTTCAGAATTTGGTCAATAAAACGCGAGATATCCAATTTTTAAATAATTTTCGAAATGGATTAGATCCTATATAGATTGATTCAGATAATGTTGCAAATCCCTAATATTGATTTTACAAATATAAATGATGAGAAATGAGAGATTAGCACATGGACCAATGGTTGGGTGAGAATCACGAGATCTTTGGAGATCTATCTAGCAGATTGTTTCGTTTTGTTTTGTTTTTTTTTTAAATTATAAAATATTAGTTCGTACATTTTCGATTGGGCCAACCACATGCGTGTTGTGACCGAGTTCCCATGTAAACAAACGCACTCGACGATAATTACCCAAATACCCTCTCACCTCGGTCAAATTTCCCACAACCAACCATTTCCCGAAACCAATCGAATCAGAGGGAGAGAGAGATGGAGCACGAGAGCTCAGAGAGGAGGAACAGAGCTCGGCTGGCGATCATGGAGCTAGCCAACATGATCAGTGTCCCGATGTCCCTCAACGCCGCCGTCAAACTCGGCGTCGCCGACGCAATCTGGTGCGGCGGAGCGAACTCTCCTATCTCCGCCGCCGAGATTCTCTCCCGTTGTTGCGGTGGGGCTGGAGGTCCGGAGAATCTCCAGCGGATCCTCCGTATGCTCACAAGCTATGGCGTCTTCTCCGAGCACTTCTCCGGCGACAGCGAGAGGAAATACTCTCTGACTGACGTCGGAAAAACCCTCGTCACCGACTCCGACGGCCTCTCCTACGGTTCCTACGTTCTCCAACACCACCAGGTTCGTTCGTTTGTAGGATGTCAAAACGAGCTGAGCTCGCAAGCCGGCTCGGCTCGAGGTTGGTTCCTTTTTTATCGAGTCAGAGCCAAAAATATCTGAACCCAAATAAAAAACGGGCTGAATCAGCCAGCTCGCCACGAACCGAATCCAAACAAGCTAGCTTGGTCAGCTCGCGAGTTGGAGTAAAAAAAAATTTCTTGCTTTGAAACTTGAAAGTGTTGATATTGTTTGGTATGATATTTTGATTTGAAGATAATTTTTTTATACATGGATTAGGATCTAAAGATGATTTTTTGTATAATGATTAGAATCTGATTGTACATGGATGAATTAGTATCTAAAAATGGTTTTTGTATATGGATGGATTGTGATTTGATCTATTTGAAGATGATTTTTTGTAGATGGATTGTGATTGTGAATATAAATATGATTTGGATGTATTGATATGTTTTTTTTTTTATGTTGATATATCATTTGGAAATGTTTTTGTATAATTTGATATGGTTTTTTAGGTATTTAGAAAAATATGAGTTGGCTTGCAAACCGATTCGCGAGTTAAGCGATTTGGGTTGAGCCAGAAATTTTTTGGCTCGAATAAAAACGGACTTAATGAGTTGAATTGAAAATGAACTGGCTCGAAACGAACTGATCCGATCTGGTTCGAGTTGGTTCGTTTGATATGCCTATTGGTTTGTCAAATCCAAAAACAAAAAATCGTACGTCAAATTACGAGAGTACCCTCGCTGATTTGTAGAGATGGTTCTTTCGAATTTAAAAAATTATATATTATGAGTTTCTGTTTGGATTTCTCTCTGATTGAATAAAAATGACTATTAAAAAAGGTTGGTTTATTATATTTTTCCTTTACTTTATATTTAATTTAAATATTTTTCATTTTAAAAAAATACATCTATCAACTAATTTAAATACTTTTCTGGTCACAGATTATAGGATCGAGTGAATCGATGATATAAATTTAATTTTCTAAAAAAATTTAAAATTATTTTAATAGAAAAAATTAACTAAAAGTCAAAAACTTTATTTTTTTGGATTTACAAATACCGCAAAATAAAAAAAAACTAAAATTTAAATATCAAAAACTCAAAAAAATTATCACTGTTTATTACATCGATTTGATTTTGCATAATTACACAAACCCTAAACTATTTACTGGAAACTCTTATTTACGACATTAACGTGCGAACCACACTCCGTGAACTTGACATGACAAAATTGCCCTCGGGTAAGTGACTAATTCCGGGAGATGATATCCAGGAGGCGTTGATGAGGGCGTGGCCGTTGGTGCACACGGCGGTGGAGGATCCGACGAGAGAGCCGTACGTGAAGGCGAACGGGGAGCCAGCGTACGCACAGTACGGCAAGAGCGAGGAGATGAACGGCCTGATGCTGAGGGCCATGTCCGGCGTATCCGTACCGTTCATGAGGGCTATTTTGGACGGCTACGATGGGTTTAAATCCGTGGAGCATCTGGTAGACGTAGGTGGTAGCGCAGGGGATTGCCTCCGCATGATCCTTCGGAAGTTCCCCAATGTTCGTCAAGGCATCAACTTTGATTTGCCTGAGGTTGTTTCTAAAGCCCCTCCCATTCCTGGTGAGTAAATCTATATAGAGATTATATATCGATTTTGGAAAATTAAACCGAATTGAATAGAATATGATTTGAATCGATCGCGAAAATATGAAATTGAACCTGGATAAATATTATTGTATATCAGAAAATAATGAATAATCACGATATTGGAAACCTAGAGTTTTTTTTTGGGGGGACTAGAGAGTATTTTATGAAATGAATTTCTAAAATTGGATATATTGGAAAGGATGAGTTTTTAGTAGCATTATAATCTATTTTCTGTTTTAAACAAGTTAAAAATCTTAAAACAAATTCGTTTATGAATGGACAATATAGAGTATTTTTTTTAATATTAGATAGTAGTTTTACGTAAAGTAGTATATAAATAAAATATTATATAGTATGGGCGCACAAATTTAGAATGGATGAGTTTATCTTCCTTTTTATTTTATCCACGTGTGTATTTTTGTTTCACGAAAATATATTTATTTTTGGAATGAATAAAATAAATGGCCATCATGCGACTTTGGTTTAGGTGTGACCCACGTCGGTGGAGATATGTTTAAGTCGATTCCTTCGGGTGACGCCATTTTCATGAAGGTTAGTTGCCTTTCGCTTTCGTCTCTATCACAGAGATCATGCAAATTTCGTTTTTTTTTCTTTTTTTTTTAATTCAATTTAACGTTTTTCCATTTTATTATAAATCACGTTTGCATGTGATCATGGTTTATTATTAGAACATATATTTATAAAGTGCTAAACAACCAGACTGAATTAATTATATTTTTTGCAGCCAACGGAAAAAAGTGTCTGAACCGTTTATACTTCCCAATTCATAATTTATAATAAACCCAGTGAAAAAAAAATTGTACTTCCATTATTATTCTTATTATTATTGGTCAACTTTACATTTATTATTTTAAGCTTACAAAAATTTTGGGAAAAAAGGAACTATAATTTTGGGTAAAGATGAAAATCCATTTCCTAGAATAATATATATTTTGATATCTATTATTCTGCGCGCGCAAAGTTTCTTTTTAAAACATTTGGATTATATTTAACGGTGATTTTAAACTATACACTAAATCGTTAGATTTGAATGTGCATGTATATAATGTTCTGCAGTGGGTATTAACGACATGGACCGACGAAGAATGCAAGCAGATAATGAGGAATTGTTACAATGCATTACCTCCCGGAGGAAAGCTCATTGCTTGTGAGCCGGTTTTGCCTAAGGAAACCGATGACAGTCACCGGACCCGAGCTTTATTAGAAGGCGATATCTTCGTTATGACGATCTATAGATCTAAAGGTAAGCATCGGACCGAAGAAGAGTTTAAACAGCTCGGTCTTGCCTCGGGTTTCTCTCTCTTTCGACCTTTCTACATCGATTATTTCTACACTGTCTTAGAGTTTCAGAAGTGAAGGTGACGCGGGTTTTGGTTGGATTCTTGTTCTTTCGATTCACGTATTGGGATAATGTTATGAATCTTAAGTTAATTACGTTTCGGAATAATAATAATCATAGACTATGGCTTTTGTGTTTTTGATCGCTAGTTCACTTATTGGGTTTTGTTCGAACATCACATGTCATCTTGTTTTGCCCGAATTGCAAGATGCGCATGTCTTGTTCAATGCGGTTGTGTTTCGGCTTGTTATAGATAAAAATAAATAAATAAATATATCAGATAGAACAATCTCGTTTATCTTTCTAATAATCCTCACACGATCTTATATATATATATATAAAATAAATGCACACACAATCCTAAAAAAATTAGATTTTATGTCTATCTTCGCACTTTTGATTATCATTATAGATAACCACAAGTTTATTTTCAAAGGTTTTATGCGATTTTTCTATAAAAAAAAATATTTCATATAGAACTATGTACATTTTATAGAAATATTAGTTGAAAAGTTATATATATAATCTTTGTGTGTGTGTGTGTATATAAATATACCCTATATAAATTTTAATGTACTCTTATTCTAAAATATCCAACATGGTTAAGTTGAACTCAATTATTGAATCATTACATTGATTGTTCCTCGTTAGAGTGAGACCAAACACCTGTGACTATGCGTGTAGACATCTATATATTTATATATGTATTTTTATGTGTGTATATATATATATATGTTTAATCTATGTATCTATGCGCTCGTGCCTATATATGTTAGTATGAACTGATAAGCTCGTGAGCACTATCATCATCATCATCATCGTCATGGGTAAACTCGGAAAATATGTTGTTGTTATGAAGCCATTGATCTCCATCGATGTAAGAAATATCCATGAAGAAGGCTGCTTCAGATTCTGTGAGTTGCTTTGCATACGAAACCCTCTCACTGTAATTCCCTCCCGGTCCATAGCTTTCGTATTCCCCGAAAAACACCGTTCTGCAAAAAAATGATATCTCAATCAAATTCCTCGTACTGAAAATTTTGGAACTCGATGTCGAAAATGTTCGTTCGTTGACAAACTTGTCTCGAGAAGGGTCGTTCCAATCGTCCCATCCATCTGAAGAAACGATTTCAGACATGTAAGTTTTGGAGAAGATGACAGTTGCATACGGTCCCCACGGTCGACCGAGCAAAACTTTTCCTGTCCCGTCTATTCTACAGTTCACGAACGAAAAACCCGTCTTCTCATTTTCCGAATTCCTTCCATGAGCAGTGATGTATCCGCTAATACCCGACGTATTCTCTTTTGCTATAGAGTTTATTGTACAATCCTGTTGTTTTTGTTGTTTTAAAGGTTACTCCATATTGCAAAATCACAAGGTTGGTCAATCCCAATATATATATATATATATATATATATATATATATTTATATATATATTTACCAGGTAGAGAGATTTGGCACTGCCGAAGATAAAATCGATGGAGCCTTGGATGAAACAATGGTGGAAAAAATGTCGGCCATTGTCATCGAGAAGGGTATCTTGAGAGCCATAGAAACCACAACCATAGAAGGCGGCTTGATCTCCTTCTATCCTCATTGCCACTGCCTGCTCATCTTTCGCTCCCGGCTCTGCCTCTGGCGCTGTATTCTTCATTTCAACCACAACAAAAAAAAACAAAAAATCTCACTAATTTTAAAGTAGCTCGGAGAGATATGATGATTAATCGATCAAATCTAATATTACAAAAATATTTATATTTGTTGATAATCTTTTCAAAGCATTCTTCATATATCTTGAGAGGTCTGATATTCGACCTTGACTTTGCAAGTTTAGATTTTTTGATCGAATTATCCGATTTCGGTGAGTCAAGTATCCGAATTTCAAGTACATATGAGATATCCCATATGTTCGGGTACCCAACTGGCGAGGCAAGGGTGAAGGGGTGGATTGATAAGGCGAAATCGAGAAAAGGAGTGGGCAAAACTACAAAAAAGAGCGAGGGGCGAGGGAGGAATGAGACATACCTGACAACAGAGGGCGAATGATAGGGTGGACGGAAAATCTCTAAAATCTTTAGTATAACAAAACCATAAAAAGTAGATGACATGATTTCTATCTCTTGTTTCTCGTGACTGTGGCTACAGGTTTTTACCAGTTAAAATCTGGATTCAAATCCGAAGTTTAAATTTTCACCATTGTCGAACCCATATTGATCCAGTTGATGGACAAATTCACAAATTTTGGATACCCGAGAGGTTCAATTGAAAATTCAGAACCCGTGTCTAGCTTTAATAAATAAATCTATAGGATGAAATTTGGCTTGTTGATTGCAATCTCTCTCCTACCTTGAAACTAATGTTGTAAGCAGTGAAATTTGTAGCAAAAACGGCAAAAGAGAAACTAGAAGACATGCTTCCCGCGGATTTGGTAGTGTCATTCCACTCTATGGATGTATTCTCATACCCTCTTCCTTGTATCACAATGTTCGTCTTGTTCTTATCAATTATGACCTTTTCCCTGCTTAATTTATGCGAATCCAAAAGATATTCATTAAAATGCCATTCAATATTCTAAACTATAACAACATAATTTAATATAAAAATCGAGTGGTTATAACTTATTTAAAATCGAAAAAATCGAATACGGACCAAACTAAAAAGAAAAAAACCGTAAAAGAGTTTTGAAAAATGATTTTTTTCCAATAAAAAACGAAACTGAATTGAATCTGTATCGAAATAGAACTGAATCGAATTCAATGTAACATTTGAATGATTATAGTTTTTTTAAATAAAAATAACCAAACCCGAATTTAACGGAGCCTAAACCCGAAATGTATTCTAAAGTGATTCAATATTACTTGTCCTTATGAATTGCCACCTTTTTCCCTACTAACCAAATCAAATACATTCTAATGTGATTCAATATTAATGTATGAATGATTCTAATACTCTCTTTCTAAACCCACAAAATAGAAGGACTCGGAATTATCTTAAAAAGAAGTAGAGAAATTGAAGAAAAGATACCTGTAAATACCTGAATCGACGATGATAAGACTTGTAAAAGGGCTCAACTCAGGAACTGCATCGACTGCGCTCTGGATATTACTGAAGTTTCCACATCCATGCAAATCTACTGTTAATACAAGCGAAGCTGTGTATCTATGTTTAAGCGCTTTAGACTTCCACTTTCCTCTACATTCTGCTGGACGATGATGATGATGATGGTGATGATGATGGTGATGGTGGTGATGATGATGTTTACGTCCAAAGCCAACCCATTGTAACACAGACTCTCCGAATTCAGAACTGGTTTGAACGCAAATGGATGATGAAGGGAGAGATGAAGGAAAGGGGATTATGTAGAGGGCAAGAATGATGGAAACGAGAGCAATGAGAGTGGAGAAAACCGGTTTGATGGGCATGGTTTAGAGTAAATTGGGATTCGGTTTGGTGAAATAAGAGGAAAGATAGAATGTTTTGGTTGGAATTTATAAAAGGGCATGCGTGGAGAGGAGTGGCTTGAGAGCAAAGTGAATGATTATGCAAATATGTTTTTGAATGATTACAAATGTGAACACTTTTTTATACATCAAAGGAGATACGGTTGGTGGTTAGAAGATGCTTTCAGCTCCTCCTCCGTGGCATCACCGTAAATATGAAGAGGTTTTGATTTTAAAAAATCAATTTAATTTTATATTAAATTCAGTTTGGTTCAATTTTTGTATTTTATAATTTTTTTTTTGAAAAACCGACTTTCCGGTTATCAATTCCAACAGATAGAACCTAAATAAATGGTGGTCCTCCTCCTAATCATATTTATATTTATATATAGTGTATTTTTGCATGAAATTTTAGTATGATAACTGTAAATTCTAAACAGTGTTTCACTTCATTTAAGTTTACTATGTCTTTATATATATAATTAATTTAAATTTTCGATTTTTCTCATTCATACCTAAAATTTTCATCTCGCGTAGATAAATTAGCATTTTATTGTTCATGACGTTTAAATAATCGCGAATCAGACTATGGTTAACATGATAAATCTCAATATTATCATTTCTATATAAGATATTCAAAATATTATAAATAATCAGTCGATGGTTGGGATTAATTTAAATTTAAAAATAAATAAACCGACAGATTATAGTGGAATTGTACGCCAAGATGGGAATGGAAGGTTTGTGAAGTCATTATGAAAGCAACATAAGCATGTGAAGTTTTCTTTTAGAATTTCCAAGTTTACTCATAAATTTAATATTATTATTTTTTATGATGAAAGCAAAAACCATCTCCCACTCGCCCTTCTCATCCCTAATAAGGAAAAAATAAATAAATAAAATCTTACATTCTAATGTTTGTGTGAATAGTGTGATCCTTTTTTCAATTTAAATAGAAAAAATGTGAATAGCTTTCCTTCATATATATTATTATAAAATCTATTTGTTTCGAAATTCCTTAGCGGTGTGATTAAATTTATAAACATATTTTTTCTTCAAAAATTGAAATTGAATTTCATTTCATGTGTAATGCTATTTCATTTTGAATTATAATATCAAAAATCGAATTATGATCATTTACCTTCTTATCTAAAACTATATTTTGTGGTGTAATTCCATTTTTTTTCTATCGATATTCTTTTGACTGGTTCAATTTACTTTTGATATTATCTTATTATCAAGAAAAATAATCCCTAAAGAGCTACGAAAATGAATTATATGTTTTCAATATTTAAAATCAATAATTATATTTGACGAGATAAAATTTATTTTCACGCTCACTGTCAATTAAAATAAGACGAAATGTAACCAATTTGCCAAACTCTAAATAAAAATTAATATTTTAAATAATATATTCTTTACAAAGGATTTTTTTTATGATAACAAAAGTATTGAGGATTTTCTTTTTTTAATCGGACCCCAATTTAGTTCTAAGAAAGTTTTTCAGATTTTCTTATTTCCAATTTTTTTTTTAAAAAAAAATAGATGACTTGAAACATTAAAAGGGTACAAAGATAGTGGATCTAAATTTAGGCAGGACTTAGCATTGTATCATTGAATGCTTTACTTATACTGTGATATGGACTTGTACCCAATTATTCTCTCACCGCTTGCGAAAAGCTCATTTTATTCCATATTCATAATAATCAATTCAAATTCAGCCCAAAAACGATAAAAAAGATATCAATAAATTTTTTTCTTGATTTTTTTTTTATCGTTTTCAGTTAATTTTTAAAAAGTTTAGAGTTTTATAGGTTAATTATATCAAATACATGATTTAATTGGTAAATAAAAAAAGTACAAGAGTTTTTTTGTTGACCTGGAAAAAATATAGAGTTTTTTTGGCGATTTTCTCTAAAAAATATTTGTATACTATTTGAGTTTTGAAACACAATTTTGTCAATGATTTGGGAAATATAAATAATTTCAAAATGATGGCCTCTTGCATCTACAAAATTTACATCAAGTTACTGCAGCAGGGGAGAGAGGAGAGAGCTCATAAGAAAAAAAAACCTACCCACCAACTCACCCTTTACCTTTTTTCCTTTAAGAAAATCAATGACAGTTTTCTTCTTCCTTTCTTTTCAAATTTCACCTCAATAGAAAGATCAACATTTGGATTTCCGTCGAAACATTTTCACCCGAAAGTCTCTTGCTTAATCTCGGACTTCCCCGTCATGATTTGGTGTTTATGAACCGTTCTTTCCAGCATCGGAGCTCCTTTGAATCTTACTATCTGAGAACACATCTTCATGTACTTGCTTAGCTGAGATACCAAATGTTTTACACAAAGGGTCAATAGTTAATCATCTTGTTGTAATATATGATAATGATATAAAATGTAATTGCTTATAGCTGAGATACTGAAGGGTTTTTTTTTACACAAGGTCACTAATAATCTTAATGTAACTTGATAATGATATAAAGAATGAAGAAAATCAATCATCACTACCTGTTCATATGCCATTTTTCTGAATCCATACTTGTTCATCGAAAGAGGCTCTGCCTCTTCGGCGGCTGTAAGCACGATTTTCTCGACGTTGAAGAATGAGAGTAGTTTCTCAGTGCAAGAGGAGAGTAATTGAAAGTATCCCTAATCGACGGGGTAACAGAAAAAAATTATACATACATATACAGAAAATAAGTATAACATGTCTAGGAGGGGAGGCTATTCATACTCGTAGCGGCTAAAGGAAGCTCTGTATCATCTCTGCCGAAAATTCGAAGTAGTCCAGCGGATACAACAGTTGAGCTGAAAATATTATCGGAGGGAAATATCCGGTCAAGGGTTTCGAGCATCGAGCATGAAGCTAATAACGGCGTAGAAACTGGCAAGAGAGAGATCTTGCTTAGCACATTCCCCCGTAATCTTGGCCTTGCATTTGCATATTCTTTCTCCACAGAAGGGATTATTTGCTCCTGTTAGTGGCATCCCAAGTGTGTAAAGATAGAGTTGCAGACAACAGCTGCCGGAAATTAGAACTCTGACAACCTAACAAGGAAATCAGACCCGTGTGTCGGATCAAATCATTCATTATCAGAGTTGGCAAGGGAATTGATGCGAATATCCTTGGAGTGAAAGTGTGAACATGAGTTAGGATTCGAGAGGAATTGAAATCGAAATAATGATTATTTTTATATTTTTATTTTATGACTTTAGGGATATTTTAGGTATTTTGGTTATTTCTTTTAGGGTTTTTGCCTTTATATTTTGTTTTTTTGTTTCATTATTGTTCAGACTTGGTTTTTTTATGAATTGAGAGTGCTTCTCTTGAGGTTCCTATGGGAACTAGATCCCGAACTTCTTGAGTCATATAGGTGTTCATCGACTTATCAAGCACGTTCATCACCCGTGTTTGTGGCATCTTCTACCCGTTATTCAAGGTTTATCCAGGTTGGTATTGGGTTTAGGGAGTCCTCAGAGATTGAGACTACCTCTAGATTTGATTCACTGGATTTAAGGGGTTTTGATAGCATCCACGACTATCTTTTGATCCCTATTTGAGAACTTTCTATCTAGGAATCATATCATACCATTTGGTACCAAAATACCTAAAATATCCCTAAAGAGTCATAAAATAAAAATATAAAAATAATCATTATTTCGATTTCAATTCCTCTCGAACACTAACTCATGTTCACACTTTCACTCCAAGGATGTTCGCATCAGGAATCCTAAAGTAAATATACTTGACATCTTTTTGAATTTAGATCTGCACTTATTTGGTGAAGAAATACTCACAGAAGCACTCAAGCAGCATTGAATTGAAATCTGTACTCAAGAAGAGTACATCGAGAAAGGTTACCAACGAGAAAGAACTCGTTGGGTAGCTCGGATGGCCAGAGCTTTCGCCACCTCCTCGCATGAAGAACATAGAAGCCCTCTCTGGCCAAGGCATGAGGAAAGGAAGACACCTAGTGGCTAAGAGAGATCTGAAAAATCATATCCGTTTGGAACAATCAAACGAGTGTAAGATCAGATATCAGGGTCACCTTTGCATCGTTTACAGGTTAAAGATTTTTCTTTACAAGTAACCCCTAACAGCCTCACAAATCGTTGCTTCAAGTGCCATGCAGAGGACTGTTCCCTTCTTCATGCACTCTCACCACTGATCCCTCCTTGCATGTTTTAAAGCTACATGATCTCTCCCTACACCACCCTCACGCTTTCCACCCTCTCTGCACATTGTAACAGATGAACTACGACAGGGTTCACCCGTTACTCTACTTCTATTCCCCTCTCTCTCCGCAGCCAGAATCCAGGCTCCCTTCGGGCAAAACCTCAACAGGAATCTCTTCATCTAAGATTTCAACAAACTGGCTTTCTTCGATTAAAACACCAAACAAGGACTTCTTCCCTGCCTTAATCCCTAATTCATTAGACTTTTCAACTGTCAAATGTTCAGATAAGCTGCCAACAGCTGGCCGCACTCTTCCATTGCGGTATCCATAGCAGGGCTCTCAATCGGCGCATTTTCAACACGACAACTCACATCCACACTACTTCCAGCCCTCGAGATGTTACAAGACATATCACCAGAGAAATTTTCCGAGCCCTTTGCCAGTTTCGGCCCTTCAAGACGATATGGCACTTTGATTTACAAATCTCCAGCCAATTCAACATCCTTAGCAAGCCTTGTCTTCTTCGTTCTCGTGTAAACGATGAAGCCATTGACTTGGGTGGTTTTGATTCTCTTACAACTAGTCCTACTTATAGAATAATGTATATCTTCTTCCCTATTTTGTAACTTTCCTATTCTGCACATTAGGTCAAATCACGTTTGTATGTATCTGTATATATCATTGCTCAATGAGAAACCAAGTGATTACGCCGCATACATCACCATTGTACATGGTATCAGAGCTTCACGTCAAACGACAATAATCGATCCTCTTCTTCTCTCTAGCTGAAATCTACCAGCCATGTCCACCGCACCTGATGCCACAACTCATACAACTGAACCAGCAGCAACATTCAACCCGTTGGAGCCACAGAAAACTCTTCTGTCGTGCAACATGTCATCTATTACGAAACTCACATCCACGAATTACCTCACGTGGAGCGTGCAAGTCCGGTCTCTCCTTCAAGGCCACAATCTCGAGTGCTTTATCCTCGAAGATTCTGTCATGCCGAAGCCGACCATCACCACCGATGGTGTTACTGTTGACAATCCCAATTTTCTCCCATGGAAGCAACAAGATCGTCTCCTCTTCAGCTCATTGCTCGGCTCTCTCTCTGTCAGTCTTCAGCCCCTAGTCGCCAGATCCGCCACTGTCCGTGATGCTTGGCTCACCCTATCCAACACGTACGGGAAAGCATCTCGGGGTCATATCCTTCAACTCCGAGATCAAGTGAAGAAAAGCATCAAAGGTACAAAATCAATAGATGAGTACCTTCGATTCATCACATCCAAAACCGAGGAACTTGCTCTTCTCGGAAAACCGTTGGACCACGAAGACATTCTTGAAGCCATTCTCGATGGTCTTTCCGAGGATTACAAACCGGTTGTCGACATGATTAACGCAAAGGACACCGCCATTGCTATTGACGAGCTTCATGAAAAGCTCCTCAATCATGAAGCCAAACTTGAGGCTGCCTCACCAATGTCACAACCAATTTTCCCTGTCACGGCACATAACGTGCATGCCAAGTCTCGTCGCTCAGGTCCTTCCAACAATCATTGGAGACCACCCAACACTGTGCATCATCCGTCTAGTCAACCTCGTCCATACCGTGGTCGATGCCAAGCATGTGGTGTTCACGGACATAGTGCCAAGAGGTGCCATCTCTTTCAACTTGTCTCCTCTTCGGGTCACTCTGGTCCCTCTCCACCGCGCAATTGGCAGTCTTCCCCTCGGCCATGGCAACCTTCCGCACATGCTGCCATTCACTCCGACTATGACACATCTCCTTGGCTACTTGATAGTGGGGCTTCCCACCACATCACCTCCGATCTTCACACTCTCGGTCTCCATAGCCCGTACAAAGGTCATGATGACGTCGTTATCGGTGATGGGTCCGGATTAGCCATTACGCACACTGGTTCTATCTCGATCTCCCTTCCATCACGTTCTATCTCGCTTGATGACGTTTTATGTGTACCCGAGATTCGCAAGAACCTTGTCTCCGTTTATCAACTTTGCAAGACTAATGGTGTTTCCGTTGAATTCTTTCCACACATGTTTCAGGTGAAGGATCTACGCACGGGGGCGCGATTACTAACCGGAAGGACTAAGGACGGTGTTTACGAGTGGCCGGTTTCCAAACCTCCAACCTCTCCCATTTATGTCTTTTCGAGTCTTAAGTCCACTTTGTCCGAGTGGCATTCCCGTCTTGGTCATCCGTCTTCTACTATTTTAAAGCATGTTGTTTCAAAGTTTGAACTTCCGTTATCTCGGGATTCTATGTCTACCTTTTGTGATTCTTGTTGTCGGAATAAAAGCCATAAACTACCTTTTTCTTTATCCACTCTTGTTTCCACACGACCATTAGAGTTCTTGTTTTCGGATGTTTGGACATCTCCAATCATCTCTCTTGATGGATTTAAGTACTATGTGCTATTTGTCGATCACTTTACAAGATATTCATGGCTTTATCCACTAAAGAAAAAATCCCAAGTCCGAGAAGTCTTTACCAAGTTTAAACCCCTTGTTGAAAACAAATTCTCAACCAAGATCACAAACCTATACACCGACAACGGAGGAGAATTTATTGCTCTCTCTTCCTTTCTTAGCCAACACGGCATCTCTCACCTCACGACACCACCACATACTCCCGAGCATAACGGAATTTCCGAACGTCGCCATCGACACATAGTCGAAACGGGACTGTCACTTCTCATGCATGCGTCACTTCCTTTATCTTTTTGGTCATATGCCTTCACCACCGCCGTTTACTTAATCAATCGCATGCCCACCCCCAACCTTCACATGTCCTCTCCTTTCGAATCCCTCTTCGGTTCACCACCGAACTACACAAAACTCAAAGTCTTCGGTTGCTTATGTTACCTGTGGCTAAGGCCATACTCGAACCATAAGCTTGATCCAAGATCCTCTCCGTGCATCTTCCTTGGTTATTCCATTACTCAAAGTGCATATATATGTCTTAACCCAGTCAACTCTCGCGTATACATCTCTCGGCATGTCGTTTTCCAAGAAACCATATTTCCCTATGCCTCTCCATCCCTCTTTGTTTCTTCTGAGTCAAGTCAACCTCCTTCAACCTCCTTGTCGTCTCCCACAGCCACTGTCATCTCACCTTATCAACCGCCACACGTCACTCCTCCTACGCCTTCGTCCCCGCGTTTAGATCCCTTACCAACTATTGTGGATGTTCAACCGGAACCCGACGAAGCGGATCCAAGACAGCCTGTTATTGCTAATGCTCCGCCATCACCACAAGACTCCATCGATGTTGCTCCCCCTATCAACCATCACCGTATGGTTACGAGGGCCAAGGCGAATATCTCTAAACCTAACCCAAAATTTGCTCATGTTGTTGCAGATTTAGATGACTCGTCTCTTCCAAGAACGGCAACTCAAGCACTCAAAGACGATTGTTGGCGAAATGCTATGGATACCGAATTCAACGCCCTTATTCGAAATAATACATGGGATCTCGTACCAGCCACTGAAGCTTCTAATGTCATCGGTTGTCGTTGGGTCTTTCGTGTCAAGCGCAACCCGGATGGCTCCATTGATCGGTATAAGGCTCGTCTAGTGGCAAAAGGCTTTCATCAACGCCCGGGCCTCGACTTTCATGAAACGTACAGCCCTGTTGTCAAACCAGCAACAATCCGCTTGGTGCTTAGCGTGGCTATCTCAAACGGCTGGTCTATACGTCAACTAGACGTAAACAATGCATTTCTTCAAGGGCATTTATCGGAATCGGTGTACATGAGTCAACCTCCCGGATTCATTGACAAGGACAGAGCTTCTTATGTTTGCAAGCTCAAAAAGGCTATTTACGGACTCAAACAAGCTCCACGAGCTTGGTATTCGGAGCTCAAGATGTTTCTTCTCCAGCAAGGTTTCGTCAACTCACTTGCCGATGCGTCACT